ATTGCCAGGAGGGTACCAGGATGGCACACCAGGATGAGGCAGTGAGGGGGCACCTCCCTAGGGCAAGGCAAACTGTTTACAGACCCAAGTCCTGCTGCTAGAACAAGCCGCATAGCTGAGAGGGCAGTGAGGAGGATCCCACATGGTGGGAACCTGGAAGTGGGCCAGCCCTGCCCTCTCCAGCATGTGCTGGCCCTGGAGAAGATGGGAAGCACAAAAGACTACCAAGGACTGGGGAGGTGTGGGTGAGGTGAGGTGCAGCTGCCTCCCATTAGGGGTTAGGGTAGGGGGACGAGCACGGGGGTGGAGACAGGGTAGATGGGCAGTAGTGGTGCTGAGTTGGATGGGGTGGGAGTGCAGGGGGGCAAGGTAGTGGGTCTGATTGGACTAATGAGTTGGGAAGGTGCAGTAACTGCCCCATAAAAAGTAGTTACTCCCGAACGGCCAAGGAGGAAGTGGGTTGGAAGGTTTGCATGAGTAGGAAAAGGCCTGGCAGAGAAAAGGAGCAGCTTAAGAACTCTGGCACCCATTCTGAGGCCTAGGAAGCATCCTATTAGTAACGGAAGCCATGGCAGAGAGTAGAAGTTTGAGCTAGGCACCAGACACCTCACAAGAATTTTTTCTCTCTAAAATACTAGAACAGGTGTTGTCCAGCAAGGAGCTTTGTGCTCTATTATGGACATAAATAGACTGTGTATAAAATGTGCAAAAGGGACTCTGATATAAAGTGACCAGATTGTGATGCCAGACATGTAAGAGCCTGAGATGATGTGCCCGTGGTTCCCGAGGTTGCCCCATTCCGGATGTATCCCTAGACACATAAAACACTCTAAAGCAGCCATCTGCCATTGCTGTTTAAACTATTGACAAAGGACTTGGCCTTCCTCATCCATTCCAGGAACCGGTTCTGCAGCCCTGAGACAAAGAACACAATAGGTGCTAGCCAATGAGTCACAACGACCTAGAGGTGTCTCTGTCACAAGTTCAGTTAGAAATCAACATTGACCAACCCCTTGTCCCTTTTCCCATTGCGAACATGACTTTTAGAACGGACCACCAAGGGGTGGTCTCAAGGGAGGTGGCCAGCAAAGCCCTCCCCCCAGAGCCCCCATACAAAAGTGGGCACCCAGCAACGTGCTCTCTACTCTCTCTACGCCCTCTCTAGCTCTTTAGCCTTTTAGCTCTTGCTATCCTGAAACCCACACTGCCTCTCTACGACTCTTGAACTGCAGCCAGAGTCTTCCATGTGCTTCTGCCGGTTCAGAGCACAATTTCCATTTCCTAGCATAATTCTTATTTCTTATTAGTCTCCCCTATTTTTCCACTGGGACGCATCATCTCATTGGACAGGTAAAGTATTGCCCCTCAGTGATCATCCTGCTAATGCGAATGTGCTATCATCTTTTATATAAGCTTCCTAGATCTGTGTAATTGTGAGTGTGTTTGAATTATTGCATGCTTGTGATATATCTTCAGTAAACAAAACCATTTTATACTGAAGCCTGCCTCTGAGTCTATTTCTGGTGATCTGGGAAGAAGTGGGACCCCTGTATACACTAGTGCTTGCTCCCTTATTGCTTATTGCTATTTTATAATATCTCATATTCTCCAATATTAATAATAACTCAGAGCAATCAGGCTAACACAGGGTGGACAAAAAGAAACACTTCTTTGCACAGCAAGTGATTAAAATGTGGAATTTGCTGTCAGAGGATTTTGTGATGGGCACAAGCACAGACAGCTTTAAAAGGGACTAGACAGATTCATGAAGGATAGGTCTATCATTGGCTATTAGCCATGGTGACTAAAGGGAACCTCCACATTCAGAGGCAGTAAACCTCTTAATCCCAATGCCAGGAGACAACGTTAGCGGAAGGACTTAGCCTCTATGCCCTGTTGTTTGGACCTCCAGAGGAACCAGTTGGCCACTGTGTGAGATAGGATGCTGGACTAGATGAACCACTGGTCTGATCCAGCAGAGCTCTTTTTATATTCTTAATCTGCACAAATCCATAGAGGGAGTCCATAGCAGAATTAGGTTTTCAAGTCAGGACTCCTAAATTGTAATTCTGCTTTGAATCATATAAAACCATTCTCGTTTTTGAAGGCATCAGGAAACTCCCTAATTTTCCCAGTCCAGGAAATTACCTCATCAATGCTTGCTTTTGCAATGTAAGAGGTAATCTCAATTATTTTAAATTTCTGGGTTGTATACTCTTGCCTAATGTGCAGTTTTAAATACATCTTCCTTTCTATACATCTCCTGCCCATTGCCTCAGTCTTCCCCTTTCTGAGCTCACTAGGTCAGGGGTTTAAAAGCCACGATGTGAGGCTGGGCACATATTGAAGCTAGTGAGACGAACAGCTTGGCAGACATTGCCAGGGGTCTTTTGGGGCCGGAGCACTGCTCCGGCAGCCCAAAAACCCACGCAAATGGTGGCGGCAGCAAGCCCCGCCCCCAGCTCCCCACACCGAAAGCGCTGCAGCTCGGAGGAGGCCCGGAGAGCCCTGCCGTCAGATCCCCGGGCCCGCGCAGAAGTGCTGGGGCCAGGGGGAAGCCCAGAGAGCCCCGCCGCCGGGTCCCCTGGGCCCGCGTAAAAGCATGGCAGCTTGGGGGAGGCCAGAGAGCCCCACCGCCAGGTCCACGGGCCCACATAGAAGCACTGCAACTGGGGGGATGCCCGGAGAGCCCCACCGCCAGTTTCCCAGGCCCCCGCCAAAGCGGTAAGTA